ATAATAAACATATTAAACTAACTACTACTACTAAGTGCCAAATAGATAAAACTTGCGATTTTGGCTTAAATAACAACGCTCTTCTTGCCGAATAAGACATGCGAAAATTTATGTATGCAATAATTTCGCAAAAATCATTCTGAACCTAACGAAAAAATATATATTTCGTTGTGTTTGTTTATTATTAAATTATTGTAAACTTATCTAAAATATATTTAGTCTGATTACGCTAAATTAAGTTGAGCTTGTTATAATAAGGTTAGGTAAGTTTTCTAAGGTTCCTTTGGTATAAAATTATTAATTTTTACACTAATATAAATGGAAAAAATATATCTTTAAACGTATAAGAGAAAATTTTAGAAAGGACTTAATTTTAAATGAGTTCTTGCTAATTGACTAGTTTTACCTATTCGGCACGACACACACACACACACACACACACACCCATATATATATATATATATATATATATATATATATATATATATAATATATATATATATATATATATATATATATATATATATATATATATTATATATATATATATATATATATATATATATATAGTGTTTTTTATATCTGTATAACTTGATAAAGATCTTAATAGATTGCAACATTTTAACAACAAAAGTTTGTTCTTATATTTACACGTCAGATGTTAACTTTAGATACATGTACACACTTAAGTGCAAGGAGTATAACAAACAATTCAGTTGGAAGGGTGTAAGCCCATTTATTAATACGTGCTTCAATTTTTACATAGAAGCTACCGAGTGATACAGAAATTACATGACCAAACACATATATGTATACATAAACGCATAAATAAATATTTTGTGTTCTGGCATAAACATATTTACACCGGAGCAATATTTTTAAGTAATATTATGAATCGACAGCAGCTCCTCAGAAGCCGGACGGAAATCTGGAATGTAACACTCATTTTTCCTCTAAACTGCAGCACCGAGACGCTGGAACAAAGTAGGAACGACGAGCCTGAAACACCCGTTCACTAGGGAAGCCTCTGTTGTACGTTACCTCAAGCTTCATGGGTCTCCGATTCGGTAGGACATTATAATAATATATATATATATATATTATATATATATATATATATATATATATATATTATATATGTATATATATATATATATATATATATATGTATATATGTATATATATATATATATATATGTATATATGTATATATATATATATATATATATATATATATATATATATATATATATATATATATATATATAAATAAATATATCAAGAAGAGGTCTTGAAGGGTTGGGTGGTCCTGTGGTTTAAAGCGTCAAGTGGTTCTCGCTTACCATGAGGCAGGCCAGTATAACATGGGCTCGAATCCTTGGCTAGCGTAGTGTTGTTATTGATCAATACCACTCGTTCGTGGTTACAATAATATATATAAATATATATATATATATATATATATATATATATATATATATATATATATATATATATATATATATATATGTCATGCCGAATAGGCAGAACTTGCGATCTTGGCTTAAATAGCAACGCTCATCTTGCCATATAGGACAAGTGAAAATTTGTGTAAGCAATAATTTCGCCAAAATCATCTGAACCCCAAAGAAAAAAACATATTTCACTGTGTTTGTTTAGTATTAAATTACTGTAAACAAATCTAAAATTTTATTTAGTTGGTTAGGCTAAAATAAATTGTTCTTGTTATAATAAGGTTAGGTAAGTTTTCTAAGATTCTTTTTGGGGCAAATTAAAAGTTTTTACATTGGGCATTAATGAAAAAATATATCTTTAAACGTATAAAAGAAAATTTTAGAACGGACTTAATTTTAATGAGTTCTTGCTAATTGACCAGTTTTACATATTCGGCACCACACACACACACACACACACACACACAAAACACTTTTAAATATATATATATATATATATATATATATATATATATATAATATATATATATATATTTTAATATATATATATATATAAACCTATGCGCTGGAGGCTGGTTGTGTAGCAGCTATAGGTTATATATCTAAAATGAAAATAGGTTGTGTTATTGAAAATGTGTGTGTGAAACTTTGTGTAGTAACTGCGTCAGAGATTGTGTTACTGAAAGAAATATCCTAAATGGGGTTAATATGTTCAGGCAAGCCCATTTAAATCCCTGCACAGAAGCCCTCCAAACTTTCCTCAGCACTGGTGAACACCCCTCTAGATGGATTGAAAAACTGGAACCGACCCCCGCATGAATCTGATACATGATCTTGTCAAGTAAGGCAACAGCGGCACTTCTCTGTTCCATGGAATATTACCTCATTCCAAACTACCATTCTTCCATTTCCCCTCAAACTACTTCTTAAATCACAACCAAAGCTTCGCCTTGAAGCCAAACATGATACCTTAAGCTGTATTGATAACTTAGTCACACAGCACACTCTCTCACAAAATATTTACGTTGATGGTTCTGTTCACCAATCCACTGGTGCAGCTGGTAGTGCTGCTGTTGTCATACACTGGTGCAGCTGGTAGTGCTGCTGTTGTCATACACTGGTGCAGCTGGTAGTGCTGCTGTTGTCATACACTGGTGCAGCTGGTAGTTCTGCTGTTGTCATACAGAGTGATGGCTCTCTTAAAGAAATTAGAGCATGCATCAATAACTGGGCCTCTACCCTTCAAACAGAACTTTTTGCCACACTTCTTGCCCTCAAATGCGTCCATGTATCTAAGGTTGACACTTTAACTGTAACTGATTCTCTGTCATCCACAAATGCTCTCAACTCATTAAGTATAAATTCTGGTATGCTTGTGTCAGAAGCCAGACACAGGTATGGTAGGATTGTGGACAGTAGAGTCAGAGTGCATATACTGTGGATTCCATCTCACATTGGTATTCAGATGCATGATAGAACTGATGAATTGGCTGAGCTGTATGCTTTCCAAGAGGGGGTAGATTACCATCTTGGCTTGTCAGTTTGCAGTTTGAGAGCAATAATTAGAAAAAAAATTCATCTGAATTTTATTGACTTAAGACTCAGGGAGACTGACACAAGTCAGTCCATCTATCATCATTCCATCATGCAGGAGGAGCCACATGTCTATGTTGCATCCAACAAGATAAGCAGACTCTTGGATGTCACTAATGCCCGGCTCCGGCTGGGTTACAAGTATCTTTGGCAGGTTAAATCACCATCACCAGATGAAGACCAAACGAAATGTAAACTTTGCCAGATGGACTATTGCCACACCCTGCGTCACAACTCACTCAGAAATGTTCAAGATATATCAGAGTATTTTATCCACAGTGGCATATTACAGAGCATTCTGGAAAAATACCCTGGCTTTGCTCCCTGTAAATAAAGCATTACCACGTGTGTGTGTCTACTCACCTATTTGTGGTTGCAGGGGTCGAAACTCAGCTCCTGGCCCTGCCTCTTCACTGATCGCTACTAGGTCCTCTCTCTCCCTGCTTCATGAGCTTTATCATACCTCGTCTTAAAGGTATGTATGGTTCCTGCCTCCACTATATCACTTGCCAGACTATTCCACTTCCTGACAACTCTATGACTGAAGAAATACTTCCTAACATCCCTTTGACTCATCTGAGTCTTCAAGTTCCAATTGTGACCCCTTGTTTCTGTGTCCCATCTCTGGAACATCCTGTCTCTGTCCACCTTATCTATTCCTCCCAGTATTTTGTATGTCGTTATCATGTCTCTCTTAACCCTCCTGTCTTCCAGTGTCGTCAGGCCGATTTCCATTAACCTTTCTTTGTAGGATATTCCCCTTAGCTCTGGAACTAGTTTCGTTGCAAACCTTTGCATTTACATAATTTTTTGACGCGCTTGACCGGGTGTGGGTTCCAACTGGTGGTGCTTACTCCAGTATGAGCCTAACGTACACGGTGTACAGTGTCTTGAACGATTCCTTACTGAGGTATCGGAACGCTATTCTCAGGTTTGCCAGGCGCCTATATGCTGCAGCAGTTATCTGGTTGATGTGTGCTTCCGGAGACGTGCTCGGTATTATACTCACCCCAAGATCTTTTTCCTTGAGTGGTTTGCAGTCTTTGGCCACATAGCCTGTGTGTGTGTACTCACTCACCTAACTGTACTCACCTAATTGTGGTTGCAGGGGTCGAGGCTCAGCTCCTGGCCCCGCCTCTTCACTGAGTGCTAGTAGGTCCTCTCTCTCCCTGCTCAATGAGCTTTATCATACCTCATCTTAAAGCTATGTATGGTTCCTACCTCCACTACCTCACTTGCTAGGCTATTCCACTTCATGACTACTCTATGACTTAAGAAATACTTCCTAACATCCCTTTGACTCATCTGGGTCTTCAACTTCCAATTGTGACCCCTTGTTTCTGTGTCCCATCTCTGGAACATCCTGTCTCTGTCCACCCTGCCTATTCCACGCAGTATTTGGTATGTTGTTAACATGTCTCCCCTAACCCTCCTGTCCTCCAGTGTCGTCAGACCGATTTCCCTTAACCTTTCTTCGTAGGATATTCCCCTTAGCTCTGGAGCTAACCTTGTTGCAAACCTTTGCACTTTCTCTAATTTCTTGACGTGTGTGTGTGTGTGTGTGTACTCACCTATTTGTACTCACCTATTTGTGGTTGCAGGGGTCGAAACTCAGCTCCTGGCCCCGCCTCTTCACTGATTGCTACTAGGTCCTCTCTCTCTCTCTCTGCTCCATGAGCTTTATCAAACCTCGTCTTAAAACTATGTATGGTTCCTGCCTCCACTACATCACTTTCTAGGCTATTCCGCTGCCTGACTACTCTATGACTGAAGAAATACTTCCTAACATCCCTTTGATTCATCTGAGTCTTCAACTTCCAATTGTGACCTCTTGTTTCTGTGTCCCATCTCTGGAACATCCCGTCTTTGTCCACCTTGTCTATTCCGTGCAGTATTTTATATGTCGTTATCATGTCTCCCCTGACCCTCCTGTCCTCCAGTGTCGTCAGTGTGTGTGTGTGTGTGTGTGTGTGTGTGTGTGTGTGTGTGTGTGTGTGTGTGTGTGTGTGTGTGTGTGTGTGTGTGTGTGTGTGTGTGTGTGTGTGTCTATGTGTATATGTTGCTTGTGTGTGTGTTTACGTGTGTATTTGTGTACTCATATCTGTGTGCGTGTACTCACCTAGTTGTGGTTGCAGGGGCCGAGTCACAGCTCCTGGCCCGGCCTCTTCACTGGCCGCTACTCGGTCACTCTTCCCGCTCCATGAGCTTTATCATACCTCTTCTTAAAGCTATGTATGGATACTGCCTCCACTACATCACTTCCCAGACTATTCCACTTCCTGACAACTCTGTGACTGAAGAAGTACTTCCTAACATCCCTGTGGTTCATCTGAGTCTTCAACTTCCAACTGTGACCCCATGTTGCTGTGTCCCATCTCTGGAACATCCGTTTCTGTTCACCTTGTCGATTCCTCTCAGTATTTTATATGTCGTTATCATATCCCCCCTATCTCTCCTGTCCTCCAGTGTCGTCAGGTCGATTTCCCTTAACCTCTCCTCGTAGGACTTACCCCTTAGCTCCGGGACTAGTCTTGTTGCAAACCTTTGCACTTTCTCTAGTTTCCTTACATGCTTGGCTAGGTGAGGGCTCCAAACTGGCGCTGCATACTCCAATATGGGCCTAACGTACACAGTGTACAGGATCCTGAATGACTCCTTATTAAGATGTCGGAAGGGTGTTCTTAGGTTTGCCAGGCGCCCGTATGCTGCAGCAGTTATTTGGTTGATGTGTGCCTCAGGAGATGTGCTCGGTGTTATACTCACCCCAAGATCATTTTTCTTGAGTGAGGTTTGTAGTCTCTGGCCCCCTAGACTGTACTCCGTCTGTGGTCTTCTTCATGACTTTGCACTTGGTGGGGTTGAACTCCAGGAGCCAGTTGCTGGACCAGGCCTGCAGCCTGGTCCTCGTCCGACTGAATTCTTCTCATCAACTTCACATCATCTGCAAACAGGGACACTTTGGAGTCTATTCCTTCCGTCATGGCGTTCACAAATACCAGAAACAACACCTGTCCTAGGACTGATCCCTGTGGCACCCCACTCGTTACAGGCGCCCACTCTGACACCTCGCCACGTACCATGACTCGCTGTTCTCTTCCTGACAGGTATTCCCTGATCTATTGTAGTGTCTTCCCTGTTATCCCTGCCTAGTCCTCCAGCTTTTGCATTAATCTCTTGTGTGAAACTGTGTCAAACACCTTCTTACAGTCAAAAAAAATGCAATCTACCCACCCCTCTCTGTCTCTTGTCTTACTGCCGTCACCCTGTCAGAGAACTCCAGTATGTTCGTGACACAAGATTTCCCGTCCCTGAAACCGTGCTGACTGTCGTTGATAAGCTCATTCCTTTCTAGGTGCTCCACCACTCTTCTCCTGATAATCTTCTCCATGACCTTGCATACTATACACGTCAGTGACACTGGTCTGTAGTTTAATACTTCGTGTCTGTCTCCTTTTTTAAAAACTGAAACTACATTTGCTGTCTTCCATACTTCAGGGAGTCGCCCTGTTTCGATAGATGTGCTGAAGATAGTTGTTAGTGGTACACAAAGTGCCTCTGCTCCCTCTCTCAGGACCCATGGAGAGATATTATCCGGCCCCATCGCCTTTGAGGTATCTAGCTCGCTTAGCAGCCTCTTCACTTCTTCCTCGGTTGTGTGTATCGCGTCCAACACTTGATAGTGTGCCCCACCTCTCTTCCTTTCTGGAGGCACTTCTGTCTCCACTGTGAGCACTTCTTTGAATCTCACGTTGAGCTCCTCAAATACTTTGCGGTCATTTTTTGTGACCTCCCCTCCTTCCTTCCTCATCCTGATTACCTGGACCTTAACTGTTGTTTTCCTACTGATGTGGCTGTACAACAGCTTTGAGTCAGATCTGGCTTTCGCTGCTGTGTCACTCTGGTATTGTCTTTGGGCCTCCCTTCTTACCTGTGCATATTCATTCTGACTATACGACTGCTTTCCTTATTCTCCTATGTGTATGTACGCTCGTGTGTGTGTGTACTCACCTATTTGTGTACTCACCTATTTGTACTCACCTATTTGTGGTTGCAGGGGTCGAGTCCTAGCTCCTGGCCCTGTGTGTGTGTGTGTGTGTGTGTGTGTGTGTGTGTGTGTGACCCAACAGTTAATATCTGCACTAATAACTCATTACAATTGTGACCGGGTGTGGAAGTGTAAATTGCTCATTACTTTATAATTTGTTCATGATTGTAACCATGTATAAACGTAAGTAAGTTTTACTTACATTATTCATTACCTTTGTAACTTGTGAGTTCATTACCTTTGTACCTTATTCAGCTATGAAAACTTGAGGGGCCCAGTCCCTGGACCCATTATGTACCTCTGTAATCTTTTGACTACCGCGCACAGGAAGGGTATGGGGTGCATAATAAACACATTAAACTAAAGCTGTATAAATGTATATCCGTTGCAGATAGTGTTTGTGTATTAGCTGTATACAACATACCTGAGTTTCATGTATTTTACTTGTGAAAAAGCACTAAACCCGTTGGGGATATAGAACTGAAATTTTAACAAATGAGGAAATATCCTAACCGTTTAAACCAAAGAATATACTGGGCTCTTCGTCCATAAACGCTGCCTGGGAGACAGTGTCACCCAAGCACAGTACACGGAGTCCCCCCCACCACGAAAAGGTGACCCAGCTTCGGGGGAGAGGAGGGGAGCTAGGTTGAGTATTTTACACATATAATCCACACATAAGAGAATGAAACTTATGATGACATTTCGGTCTGACTTAGACCAGTGATTAAATGGTCTAAGTCGGACTGAAACGTCGTCGTAAGTTTCATTCTCCTATGTGCGGGTCATTTGTGTATTGTTCCAGTCACGGTATTGTGCCTTTTTATTCGTTGAATATTGTAGCTTGATATATGTGTTGGAGATAGATTGCTGTGTTGTAGAAGCGTATATCTGCGTTGCAGATAAGCTGTGTCGTAGAAGGGTATATCTGCGTTGGAGACAAGTTATTTTGTAGAAGCATATATCTCCATTGGAGATGAGTTGTGTTGTAGAAGGGTATATCTGCACTGGAGATAAGGTGTGTTGTAGGTTATATCTACGTTGGAGATAGGTTGAGTTGTAGAAGCGTATGTACGTTGAAGACAGGTTATGTTCCAGATGCGTATGTCTGCGTCGGAAATAGGTTGCCTGTAATACCTGCGCAAATAGGCATTGGAGATAAGTTGCGTGCAGTTCCTTATTTAGGCGTTGGAAATGGGTTGTTTGCAGTACCTGTATATATAGGTTTCGGAGGTAGGCTGCGTGGAGTAGTTGCGCATGTGCGCGTTGGAAATAGGTTGGGTGCTGTCTCTGTGTATAGAGACGCTGAAGGTAAGTTGTGTACGGTAACCGCAAACAGTTACCCTGGAGATAGCATGTACTTCGTCTCTGCAGTGTGTGGACTAACCAATGATGGGTTTGAGTGTGCCTCTGACGATGGTGCCACATGTGACACAGGTGTCGTGTGGTCTGGCACAGCTGGAACATAAATGGAGGTGTGAGCACGGTTGAAATACCACCGCCACTCTCTCCGTCCCACACTGCCGACACTGCAGCCGACGCTCCGCCTCTCTTACCTTTTTTTGCAGCTCCTTCACTGTAAACAAATAAAAAATCCACGGTTAAGCTAGAAATAAATTTTATTTTAAATACCTTGGACACAACAGCGTAATGACAACAGTAATACATAAAAAGGGGACAGAACAAGTTTTTGTTATGACAGCCTTCCTCTCCATGTAGGGCTTTATCGTTGTCTCAATATAAACTAGGTCTTTGTCATTGAATTCATGTCTGTATAAGCAACTTATTATGATTGCACCCATATATAAACACGTAAATAGTTCATACCACTATAACTTGCTTAGCAATAAAACTTCTGGGCCTAGTCCCTGGACCCATTTTGTGCTTTGTAATCTTTGGACTACGACCCACAGGATGGGTATGGGGTCCACAATAAATCTGTTAACTAGTTTGCACCTATCTTTTCTTCAGTTTAGGTACTTTAGTGTGCAAGATGCTGTGAAATACCTAAGAATACGTTATCCAGTCTAGTAAGTCATCATGTATTTCACAAAGTGAGTAATGTGAATTCATTACTGATGAAGAAATAGGATCGTAATGGAAATCAATCACACTAGCTTAATTCTACCATATAGTCGTTTACCTAAAACCTTTATGTGTTCCATGTGTGCAAGTTTATACTGATGTCAGTAAAATCTTTGTAGATTTCCTAAATAAGGTTCATCTTATAAGGGTGAATGAAGGCGTAAGTGTACCTTCTTGTAATAATCTGGTGTGATCCGAGTTTATGTGAGGATTGAGCTTCTCCGGAGAGCACACGCTGGAAGAAAAATACGTCGACTCTACCTGTTGAAAGGGATTATATTGTAATATGATGTATAAAATCATCATTAACAAAAACTTATATCCAGCTGACTGCTTGGGTTTCAAGCCAACTGACATGTCACCCGTTCACCACCATTCCCTTAAATAAGGATTAAAATAAACTCACTAACATAAACCTCTCGGTGTATATAACCACTTCCGTCCAGTATTATTGCACTATATCACATCTAATCTTATTTGAGTGGGTAACCTTTCAAAGGGAAGGGGGGTGCCCTGTTGTCTGCGAGGAGCTCTTGATCCAGGGAACTGGAATTACCCTCCCCTTTGTCTTTGGAACTGTTTTTGCCGACAGCCACAAAGTGGTGCTGTGTGACCCTTATGGGTTTACCACGTCTCATAATAATAATAATCAGCCCCAGACTTACATTAATCTCCCTCACCTTCTCACCTAATATACTTGGACAGTTTTTTAACAGTTAATTTCCTATCATACACTAACGTCACTGTGAGATTATCAAGATAGTACTTATATCATCTGTTTTAAAATACCATTTCTAAAACACAGTCCGATATATTTAGACTTTTAGTGTACATAAATGAGCCTAAAATGAATAAAAGGCCTTATTTACCAAGACAGCAAAATATTTCCAGCAAGATGCAGCTTCATGGAAGCTGACTACATACCTCCATCGGTGCTGCTGGGGGAGACACCGTCTCAACGTTTCCTTGCTTCACTACCTATGGACAAAAACATTCAAAATAATTTGGTAAAAAACTTTACAATAACAATAGATTTGCTAGTTGCAAAAATAACTGCATGTTCACCAACAATATCAAGTTCAAAGGAAATTGTGTGAGCTATCAATATGTTAATGTTGATTTAAAAAATGAAAAAAAAAATAGTGAGTGGTGCAAACTCACATAAAGACCATAAAATAAAATATGATGTGGACTGAATATTTAGGTTTCTCAGTACTGAAGAAGAATTAGGTGTAAAAACTCAAAAATATGCAAACTTATTTTTGGTCTGTGTTTATTCATGTGTCACTGTATATTTGCTTTATCAACAGCACCTCGAAGTTACAAGAGTAAAAAAAAATATATACATAAATTACTATACCCACAACCTTCACTGTCCAGCCTTCCTGTCAGTCTTTTTACACACATCTTTCTTTTAATTTATGTTTATCTTAACTTTATTAATAAACATTGCAAAAGCTTAATTTTCATTAGTCTTATATCTTAACTTCTACAAGTCTGTCTTAAAATATCTCAAGTCATTCAACTTGTTTTCTATATCTTATCTAGCATACTATTAATTTCACTCACATATCTTCCCTCTTGCTATATTACTCCAGTTGTGGGTCATCATATGATTAAGACCTGAGTCAGGAAACACTTTTCCTGGTTTGTCAGGAAACACTTGTCCTGGTTTGTCAGGAAACACTTGTGCTGTTTCCTGGCAAACCTAACTAAATTATACGTAACCATTAGTTTTTATTCTTCCAAGATTATTTGTATCTTCAATTATCGTTTTGCAATCGTATTATTAAAATTACCACACTCACCAGGGAATGTGAACTTTGAAATGTTTACTTGTAAAAGATGAAATAATGTAGTGAAAATTTTCTATTAAATTTAAAGGAATACTGACTTCTTTATGTTGCACTGTATCTGGAATCATCAATATTCATCCAGTTACGAGCTGTGCTTGCGATAAAACAGGAAACCCTGTCATAAGTGGAAAGGTATGACAATACCGATACACTTGAATAAAGTAACACTGAATGGCTTGAAAAAAAAAATTCTTCGCGAGCCCAAACTAGTTATCAGTAAAGATACTGCAATAAAGAGCCAATTTATTGCACGAATCTTCTTGCTAAGCTATACAGTAGAGAGTAGTTCACCTGTGCTGGAAGTTGGTGGTCATCATGGACGGTGGAGCTGACTACGGTTTTCCTACGCTGGTCTTCCTCGTAGTCAAACACCAGCTCGAGTGCATCAGTCACTGTACGACACAGAACACCTCGCTGCTCTAGACGTTGTCTCAGCGACTCCTTCACTGATGTGTGAGAGAGACCCATACCTATAAGACGCTAGAGAAAGGAATGCATTGATAACCTTAATACAATACGTTACACTTCTACTAGAAAATATATACATAATACTAAAATATTTGTAAAATATCCGTTTTTAAAGCATTTTACTTTGAAAATATATTAAAATATTATAACCACACAAAGTTTACTTTTTCTTGACTAACTACGCTGGAATATTCATAACAATGAATTTCATCGAAGTAAATTATTCTTTTAATTATTTGTAAATAACTTCTGTGTTCTTCAAGAGCTAACCTTTGCGATGGGATGGAAAAGTAATAGTTCAGTTTCTTGATCACTAAGAGAGAGTGGGCGAGTCTTGACGACAGGCACTGGATTCTCCTTTGAAACCTTGTTAATGGTCTCTTCATCATGCAACATTCTGATGAAGCTGCAGAAGGGGTAGAAGCGAGCATGGTCTGACACAGGGTCATCCCCCTGCCTCCAGCCGAAGAGGCCTCCACCACAATGGAAACACTGTACCCAGTCTGCGAGTCCTGTGGAGAAGAAGCCAGCTTTCACCAGCTGCTCAGGAGTTACACCGACGCTCTGAGGCCAACGTCTGAACGTCTGAAGGCGACTAGACGATGTGTTGAGGTGTGGGAAGGCAAGACACCCGCTGTCTGTAACCTTCATAGAGTCTGCCAATGCAATTATCATAATTATACTTGTATGTGGCTATATTCTGTCTATGTGCATGTGGTATTCAACTAATCTCTGATTACTGCAACCTCAGCTTGGTGGCCGAGTTGGGAGGCAGCTTGGTAGTGTCTAGCTGACTACTGTTCCAGGCTGTCTTGGTGGTGTAATTACAGGACGCAGTTTTCTGTGTGTCCCCTCCTGTAATTCCACCCACCTGGACAGTCTCGGCAGTAGACCAGCTAGACAAGACCAAGTTAACATCCAACAAGGTCACTGGGGAGGGGCCACCACATACACAAAACAACACATACAAAAACAGAAACCCACCCACCAACCCAACAACCCATTCACCCGCTCACCTAGAAAAGTGAGGAAGGGAGTTCATCTGAGGGGACACAGATGGATTTCTGGACACACGGACCCCTCAAGGAAGGTTCCTTGATGTTGGTGAGGGGCTCTTGATTTAGGGAATTGGATCTGTGCTCCAGTTCCCCGAATTAAGCCTGAATGCCTTCCACATCCCCCCCCAGGTGCTGTATAATTCTCCGGGTTTAGCGCTACCCCCTTGATTACAATAACAACAATCTGATTACTGCAGGAACGAATCGCACTTATTTCGTTGAAAGACATGACCACTATAACAACTAGCTAAGCTTGCCGTCTATCATTGGCATACCGTGGATGATTAAGGAAAATCCACAGACACATTTTAACTATAGATAAGTAGCATGACCCATAGGGTTTAGCATTCATTTTTAATATAAAAATAACTGACAGAAAATAAGAGCAGTATATTACCCAAATAGTCTATGTTTATTTAGTTTACATGAAAAAGCAGACCCTGTAATATGTTCATATTTCTAACACTATTTCCCTAGCTGTTTTTAATGGACACAAACTAATGTGTATGACGAACTCAAAACACTTAAAATGAGCACTGTATATTTCGGACATATACTCAGGACATCTTCAACAGAATGTTGAAAGAGGCCAATATATTTTGAATTTTAATTCATAGGTTTTTCAGTTAAACATATAAAAAGGACATGGAATTATCTTCAGAACTTGGACAGTAAAGGTTATGGCCTGAACGTTTACATATATTGTAACTAATACTGAATAAGTGGCAAAACATACATAATTTAACGATAAATAGCCAAAGTTGTAAAGGATGATCAACGCTGAAGTTTAGTCAGGTAAAGTATGTTAGCAGTTTACCTGGAGAGAGTTCCGGGGGTCAACGCCCCCGCGGCCCGGTCTGTGACCAGGCCTCCTGGTGGATCAGAGCCTGATCAACCAGGCTGTTACTGCTGGCTGCACGCAAACCAACGTACGCAGTGATAATAATGAGCATGAAAATTCACATACCTGTCTGGAAGTTAGAGGTGGTGAGCTGTGGGCGTGTATTGGCTATCCTGAAGGCGTGGTACTCGCTCAGTAAGTTGTAGAGTCTGGCGGCATTGGTGTCTTTAGAAGCTCTGGGCACGTTGCCCGTAGCGACCCCAGTGACGATGGGGCAGTTGGGGAAGTGTTTACGGTGCTCCGCATGAGGTTGGTCCCCGGGGTCCCAGTAACCCACGATGCCCTGGCAGAACACGCACTGCACGTGGTCTTCAGTTCGCAGGTAGAAGAAGCCCACCTGGGAGAGCTCGTCGGGGTCGATGAACGGGACCGTCCAGTCAGCGAAGGTCTGCCGTCGCACTGACTCCAGCAGCAGTGCTGACTGCCAGTGGAAGCGGCGGTCACCTCGCTCCTCTACAACTGAAATCAAAACATTTCTCTTTGAAATCACTGTTAACAGTTATAATAAAACTCGGCTGTTATTGAATGTTAGTCCTCGGCGGAACTAAAGAACTATAGTTATTTCTTCTATAAATTTTTATTTTGGGAAATAGTAGCAAAAACAATACCTTTATTACGACTCGAAACTTCAAGCAATTACAATAATAATAATAATAATAATAATAATAATAATAATAATAATAATAATAATAATAATAATAATAATAATAATAATAATAATAATAATAATAATAATAATAGGCAAAAAAGGGAATTTATGAAAGTATAGTGGTACCAACACTCTTATATGGGTGTGAAGCTTGGGTGGTAAATGCAGCAGCGAGGAGACGGTTGGAGGCAGTGGAGATGTCCTGTCTAAGGGCAATGTGTGGTGTAAATATTATGCAGAAAATTCGGAGTGTGGAAATTAGGAGAAGGTGTGGAGTTAATAAAAGTATTAGGCAGAGGGCTGAAGAGGGGTTGTTGAGGTGGTTTGATCATTTAGAGCGAATGGATCAAAGTAGAATGACATGGAGAGCGTATAAATCTGTAGGGAAAGGAAGGCGGGGGAGGGGTCGTCCTCGTAAAGGTTAGAGGGAGGGGGTAAAGGAAGTTTTGTGGGCGAGGGGCTTGGACTTCCAGCAAGCGTGCGTGAGCGTGTTAGATAGGAGTGAATGGAGACGAATGGTATTTAGGACCTGACAAGCTGTTGGAGTGTGAGCAGGGTAATATATAGTGAAGGGATTCAGGGAAACCGGTTATTTTTACATAGCCGGACTTGAGTCCTGGAAATGGGAAGTACAATGCCTGCACTTTAAAGGAGGGGTTTGGGATATTGGCAGTTTGGAGGGATATGTTGTGTATCTTTATACGTAAATGCTTCTAAACTGTCGTGTTCTGAGCATCTCTGCAAAAACAGTGATTATGTGTGAGGTGAAAGTGTTGAATGATGATGAAAGTATTTTCTTTTTGGGGATTTTCTTTTTGGGTCACCCTGCCTCGGTGGGAGACGGCTAACTTGTTAAAATAATAATAATAATTGTTATTATTATTAATTTAATTGATACCACAGAGTACTTCAGTAGACACGTGAACAAACATTAGGATGTAGTATTTATTAGAAAACCCTTTCTAATAAATATGTCCTAGTGTTTACGTGTCATATAAAATCATTGAGCACTGCATTAGGCTGATCGCTGATGATCAGGGAATGTGACATCCCTCCTCATACCCTGAACTGTGTAGCAAACTACTAAAATGATAACACATACACGAAAAAAATGACCCAAACAACCATTTGTACTTTTATAACTGCTGTATTGTTACTAAGTACAAAACATAATCACCATTCCATACCATTTTACTACATGATCACCAATACTACTACAGTCCCACCATCACCACTACATGATGACCATTGCCAGAGCATAACCACCATCACATGACAACGACCACATGACTACCATTACATGACTAACACAACTTGAATATGCTACCCAGTTTTAGTGAGGAGGAGGAACAGAGAAGGGTAACTATCATATTTATCTAAAGCGCTAAACCTGTATGGATGATTCAGAGTGAAGGATCGATCCTCCGTCCAGCAAGAGCGGAAAAAAACTCGCTCTCGTATTTATACTTCGCTCTCAGAAGGGTGAGTAGGCTCCTATTGTCATTATTTTTTTTTAACTTCTGATGTTTTTTTCTTAATGAATGTTACAAAAAAATTATTTTGGTAGCAAACCTAACTTACAAACTTCACCTAGCCTAACAATGGGGAAGTTCTTAACTTCTATGGGTCATCCAGTACCTTCGGAAATAGAAGGTAACGAAATTCGATCAAAGGAACAGGAGGAGCTCCGACTACTTTGGCTCATAAGGCCTTCACCAGTGTCAACTATCAATAAGAATGGTTAATGCGCTTTAAATTGCATTAAGATTTCAGTTGTAGTAACAGAAGTTCCAGCCGTTTAAATGAATCTATCATAGTTATCTACTTAGACAAAGGGGTAGCTAGATTGTAGATAATTATTATCAACAGCCTTGATATGAACCGTGGTTCTCCTGTTGTTTGCCTTTCCCAAACACAACTCCATTATATGAAATCACATTCTTATTCTCCAATATTCCTTCCTTAGTAAACGGCTGTACAGTAGTTCTTCACGTGACATAGTAAAATGCCATATACATCAAGGAGGCTGCGCACTACGGCTGTATCTAAACCTGATAATAATTTTTGCAGGTGCGCCAGCAGGAGGCATTTCACATTCTCTCACTAGTTCGTCTGCTGGAGCTCTCACACCTACCTCTCAAACTCTTCGAGGCCTGAGACACAGGCAAACCGTCATATTGAAGACTCGACATTACAGTGTTGACTGTGGAGATGGTGCCCAATCGGGTAAACTACTGTATCAACACTGACAGATGTAACTCTACTGGAGCGGACACAAATGAGGAAGAGTATATATATACTGCTCATTTAATCTTATCAGCAAATTCACTGATGCCACAAAGATAAGAAGGAGTCAGACGTTGATGTCACGGAACTTCAGGAGGATTTAGACAAATTCATTTCGTGGTCAGAAAAGTGGCAGATGCAGTTCAATGTAGATAAATGCAAAGTTCTAGAGCTCGGAAATGTTCATAACCCTAGCACGTACCAGCATAATAATGTTGAACCTAGCCGTACAGAATGCGAAAAGGACTTGGGGGTTATGGTGAGCAGCAACCTTAAACCAAGACAGCAATGCCTAAGCGTACGTAATAAGGCAAATCGATTATTGGGATTTATATCAAGAAGTGTAAGCAACAGAAGTCCAGCTTTATACATCTTTAGTAAGGCTTCACCTTGATTACGCAAAACTCAGTTCTGGTCTCCATATTACAGAATGGACATAAATTCGTTAGAAAACATTCAGCGTAGAATGACTAAATTAATACATAGCATTAGAAATCTTCCGTATGAAGAAAGATTGAAGACCCTTAAATTACATTCACTTGTAAGACGAAGAATGAGGGGAGACATGATCGAAGAGTACAAGTGGAAGATGGATATTAACAAAGGGCATATAAATAAGGTTTTGAGGATATCCCTCCAAGAAAGAACCCGCAATAATGGATTCAAATTAGATAAGTTTAGATTTAGAAAGAATATAGAAAAGTACTGGTTTGGTAATAGGGTAGTTGATGGGTGGAACGGTGCTCATTTCGCTAGTAATTCCCTCATCAAGGTCATTGATATATATTACAAGCAACAACGGGCCTAATACTGATCCCTGTGGAACACCACTCGTTACAGATTCCTACTCGGATTTAACCCCATTTATGGACACTGCTTCCTGTCCGTGAGCCATGACTCGATCCATGAGAGCACTTTTCCCCCAGTACCATGAGCTGCCACTTTCTTTAACAGTTTTTGGTGCGGTACTCTATCAAAATCCTTACTAAAATCTAAATAAACAATATCAAATTCTTTACCGTGATCAACAGCCTCGAAAGCTTTACTGAAAAAGGTTAATAAATTAGTTACACAGGAACGGCCTCTCGTGAATCCATGCTGAGTATCATTAATCAAATTATGCTTTTCAAGATGGGTTCTTATAATATCAGCCATAATTGACTCTAGCAATTTGCCTGCAATTGAGGTTAGGCTTATTATAATGGCACCAGCATGTAATTTGATAGTAATGGTTCAGTGGCAGGTGCCGCCGTTCCCTCAACTTTTATTCCGGGGCTGAGTGATAAGGCGAAATTAATTTATATTTCCCCATTGCGCTAGTGGTTAATACAGACGGATAATGGATGCTAATCAATAAATATGAATTAGTGTACAGGTATTTAACTGCGTGTTACCATGCCAATGTTACTGTATCACGGTGAGAGAAGCCTTATCTAAGCACATGTATGTCACATGTCCACAACTTGTGATAACCTCTATTACGCATCTGGGATTTTACAACATTCACACGGTTTTTCCCCAAGACACTAGTTTTAAAGAATATAACCTTTGGGTTCTCCTATCAACAACCATGTTGTAACAAGACACGTGGCAGCAGTATAACTGGTCGAGCACCTATGAGCGACGCTATGGCTGCACTCCCAAGAGCCGGGCCATGGCCACACTACTGTGAAGTAGGCCATGGTAACACTTCCGGGAGCCGAACCATGGTCACACTCCCGATCAAACTGTTTCTGGCCTCATGGACCCAGTCATACCTACTATTAAAGCTGTGTATGGTGTCTGCTTCCAGCACTTTTAACCATCCTCAATCTTAAGTCGAGCATTTTGACAGTCCTATGATTCAATGCTGCTGTAGTTGTCTGCACTGAAAGTAGGCCTTCCATTTATTGCTGAGCTCTGCCTCGCTCTTTTGTGCTATTTCCTTTCTTGTTGTGTTCCTTCCTCTTTGCTGTATTCTGTGCTCTCTTGTTGTGTTTTTCCTTTCTTGTCTTTTCCTCTCGCGTATCTTAAGGTAGTTCGTAATGCAGGTTTGAATGTTACCTGCCCTGGTCACAACCAGGGGCGTATCTACGGAAAATAGGGCCTATGGCAAGAACTGAAACTGCGCTCCTGTCCAAACATAACTTTACCATAAAATCAGCTCAGAAATACAAGTCAAGCTCGTCAATCTTTTAAATTAACAAATTATGGCGCTACATGAAAATTACAACTGCACCTTCCTTACTTTCACTGATGCAAATCGGTCTATGTGTGCCCAAATTCATTTTTTTTCACTTTCTTCTTTTTCTACACTCAGAAGAGCAAAAATAGCACTCTGCCTTGACCCATGGAGGCTCTCAAATACTAAAGTATTAGTTTTAACTTACTAAATGATTCCTCACGGCTGGCGATGGAAACTGCAATGGTGAGCATTACCTGGATAGCAGTGCGAAGATTAGCGAAGATGCTTTCATCTCCATACTGAACAATAAATTTCTTCATATAGCTGCTGTCCATCAACATCAAAGCTGCACAATTCGTCCAAATTTTCGCACTCCTTCTTTAGGTCGTTATTGTCCAGCTATTTCAAGATATCTTCAACCAAGCTCTCAGTATCCTTCTGGCTCATCTGAATAAAACCATGGAAGAACTCTCTAACACAGACTGATTTCCTCTCAAAATCAACTTCCACATACCTTCTGACATCTGCTTACGGTGTGTCTGAACAGGAGTCGAGTCGAACATGAGACCATAGTACCTTGGCTTTACGAATGTTTCTCACTAAACTCTGGCGAACACTGGATACCTCCATGTGGATAAATTCGTTCTGGACACCCGGTGAAAGATAAGACGTGAATCCAGGATTAATTTCTACACGAGTGAGGTGTTCTTTCATGAGAGGGTCAAAGATGGCCAATAGTTTCAGTAAGCCAAGGAAATTTCAGACACTGGAGTCATTGTCCAGCAGAAGTGACTCCCTGTGCCCTCACAAAGCCAGGTTCTGAGTGGCAAGGAATTTTATGCAGTGAAGGAATCTCGTCAAGATATCACGCCACTTCTGCTTTTCCTTCTCAATCTGTGACTGAAGTTCCGCGTCATTAACCCTCTGTTTTCAGCTAAATTTCTTTCCATTTCTTTCAACTGTGTGAAGAACTCCAGACGATTCTTAGCATTTTCATGAACACTAATCCTTTCAGGTGCTTTCCACTGGCTGAATCTATTTTTCTAATCCAATGAGGATTAATGGTCTACCAGGAAATGGAGAAGACAATGGATGCAAAATGCAGACATTTTAGAAGGGAATAGACCAACTATGAACAAGTCACTTCCTCACCACGACCATTTCCCAATTTTCTCTTGAACCAAGTTTCGTTCATTAAGCGGTTGTTTGTTGGTAGAAAAGGTCCCTCACTATTTTGGAAATACTTCGAATCCAGTTTTATTATTTCTGTTCTCAACGAGTCAGGCAGAATTGCTTTTCCAGTATCCTTGTCGAACTTCAGAAGTCCAGTGTCATGGTGTTCAATCACTTCTTGTATGACAGTTCACCAGGTTCAGTGTTATCAGGTAAAATCTCGTCAATAAACTCAGCATCACCACACCACCATCATCGTCTTTCCTCCTGTCATTCCACGTTGTTTCTGGTAGCCTCACTTTTAATCTCGACATACTCGGATTTATGTGACTTAACTTCCTCCTCGGCTTCTGATGCATTTGTACTTGATCCACCTTCGGATTCTAACCAACTTGTAGCAGGTGCAAGCGACTCTATAGAACGTGTTGAACAACTTGTTCTGGGTTTTTCAAAGAAGGGCATGAAGAACTTGCTCAACTTCTTCGCTTCCTCTGCCATCAACTTCGGTCTCTTTCGTTCTTCACCTCCACTTTCCTTCTTCTTCTTCTTCTTCGTGAAGAAGCGTTTCATGATCTTCTTACACAACGCTCTGAAATAAGGAAATGACACTTTTAATAACATTAAATGTCACAGATATTGCACAAAATTTAGACTATCTCCCTATTTTCCGCAGGAGAATGGTCTTACTGCCAGCTGGCACTGAGCAGTGGTACTATGAGGTATATGGTCAAGTAGCTCCCAGCACTGTATGTTTAACTAATAATTTATATAAATGGTTTAACAATCTAGCAGTCCTAGTGCTTCTCACCCATGATAACACTGGTCTGCATTTGGAATTTTATAATTTTTATTTTTATTCATGGTTGCGATCTTACATATTCTTGGGCTGTTGATTGTAAATATTTAATCCATTTTGCTCTATCACGTAAGGATTTCGAATAAAATACAAATTAATGATAACAAAAAATGTGAATTTTTAATAAATTGTTAATTTATTAAAATTAGGCAAGTGATCATGGAAAAGCACACTCTGTTAGTTTTAAGAACATATGAATTCCAAATCAACATGAATCAAATCAAATTATTTTATTAAAAAAATATGCTCATAATAGTTAGCCTACATACTGAATCAAAGGAAGGAGGACCACTTTGATTTTCGTTTGTGCTGTGCATCGAGACCATTACGTTTCAATGACCAGCAATAATCCGCCATCATGCTGACATTCCATTTGCAAATATCCATTTCCATGGAGCAAATATCCTGACTGAACCGCTCTCCTTGTTCCTCACTCTAGTTCCCACAATTGTTGGGAAAATAGTCAAAATGTGAGTGCAAAAAGTGCATCTTCACACTCATTCTACACTCAAGTTGTTGGAAACTTGAAATCAAGTCTGGGATCATTTTTTCATATTCGGGGGAGCGCCTGTTTCTCAGGAAGTTGTGGACAATCTGCTTGAATGAAAACCAGGCATTCACTTCGACACCTGCTAATGCTTCATCAAAATGCTTGTCCTTCATCAATTCCCGAATCTGAGGGCCGACAAAGATTCCTGCCTTTAGCTTGCCTTCACTTATACGAGGAAACTTTGACTCCAGGTACCTGAAAGCAGTTCCATTCTTGTTCAAGGCCTTTACAAAAGT